ATATTCTTCCATTGTAGTCCAAGTTGTTTCATGAACTGAATGAGTGAGTAGAATGATTATACATACACATATACAACGTATCCCTTGCACAGTGGAGAATTACATAATATCCCTTATCCCATGATCGAGTTTTTTATTTTCCTTTCCTTTCATTGTCTTCAAACAATTTTTGCTACAGTGCAAAAATAATATCATCAATTGCATACAAATAAGATTAATAAAATTGGTTTAGCATTTAGATTATACAAATCTCTACTAATAAAAAAAAAATCATGAGCTTGTTGACCGATCAGATTCACTTGAGCTCTTCTTCCCCCTAAATATAAAATTCACCATTAACCATAAAAAGAAATTCATTTTTTTGTGCTAAACAATAGAACTTATACAGACTAGGATTAAATAGAACTTACATTATAAATATTTTGAGCTAAGATTACAAATAATAGAGAAGAGGAGAAGGTTATCACTACTTTAGAAGACTTGAACGAGAAACCAAAGCAGAGGATAAATAAGATGAACCGAAGCAGAAGAATGAGAAATTGAAGCAGAAGAGAAGAAAGACGATGAACAGAGACCGAAGCAGAAGAGAAGAAAGACGAAAAAAAGTGAACCTACTAAGCTACTAAGCTTCTCAAAGAGGCAACAGAAATGTATTTAGGCAGGAATTAGGTTAGTATTGTGTCAAAATTTCATTCACCAATCTGTCAGTATATTATTGGCCTAATGCCAAATTATTTTTAAAAAAAATTGATTTGATAAAGTAAATATTTTTTAAATAGTTTTAGATGTTAATTTGATTAATTGATGGTTAATTGGACGAATTTGATTAATTGACGATTATTTGAGATGTTAATTTGTTGAATTAAGTGTTAATTGGATGGATATGAATGTTAATCTAATTTGATAAGTTGAATGGTAGATGGAAGTTAATTTGATAAATTAAATATGGGAGAATTACAACCAAGTCCCATGAGGTTTGTCATATAATCACTTAGACCCTCTGACATATAAAATATTGCACACAGACCCTCTAAAGTTTGTGCGTGTGTAACACTTATACCCCTGCTGTAAATGTATCTGTTAATAAATTATATTTACACCCCCTGAAGTTTGTAAGTATATAATACTTAGATCCCTTAAATTTAAAATATTATACTTAGACCAAAAATATTCCAATTAAAGATACAATATCAAGTATTTTAAATTTACAACCAAAATTCAAGTTTTATTGTATCATTGAAATAAAATTAAAAAAAAATTCTTAAAAAAACGTAATTAGTATACAATTATACTATCTATTGGAATAAAACTAAAAAATCAAACAAAAGGTTTAAGTCATTTATAATAGAACATAAATTTTATATCTAAAATTAATATTCTATTATGTAATTTATTGAAATAAAATAAAAAATAAAAAGTCTAATTTTTTTAAAAAAAATCATAGTAAATATATATTAAAAGAAAATTAAAAAATTAAACAATAGGTCAAACTGTAATAGACAAAATATCTTTTAGTTTTAATTGGGGTAGTTTGGTATTTTAATTTGGTCGTTTAAACGACCAAATTAAATTCTAGTAGACAATATAATTGTATACTAATTATAATTTTGTAAGAAAAAAAATAAATTTTTATTTTTGATTTTATTTCAATAAATGATACAATAGAACCTGAATTTTGGTTGTAAAATTTAAAATATTTGATTTTTAATCTTTAATTGGAGTATTTTTAGTTTAAGTATAATATTTTAAACTTAAGGGGTCTAAGTATTATATACCTACAAACTTCAAAGGTGTCTAAGTGTAATTTATTAACTAATATATTTACAGCAGGGGTCTAAGTGTTACGCGCGTTCAAACTTCAAGGGTCTCTGTGTAATATTTCAAATGTTAGAGAATCTGAGTGATTAAGTGACAAACTTCAAGGGGTCTAAGTGTAATTCTCCAATTAAATATAAATCGGATGAAATTGAATGTTAGTTTAATAAAGTGAATTTTTATTGGATGTTAATTGAATAATTAAATGTTAATTGAATGATTATGGATATATAAATTAGATGAATTTAATATTAATTAAGTTGAATTTTAATGTTAATTTGATGAATTGAATATTTTGATGTAATATTAATTTATTATGTTAATTAAATATATTAATTTTGATTGCTGATGCGATGATCCCTTGATCCCAGTTTTGATCGCTATTGCACCGATCAGTATCAAACTCTTGATCGCTACCGTTGATCGCAATAGTGCACTTGATCCCAATCTTGATCACTACTCTGGATCGCAAGAGTGCACACCAATCTTGATCGGTACTTGATCCCACTCTTGATCGCTAACCTGCACTTGATCCCACTCTTGATCGCTACCTTGATCGCAAACCTGCACTTGATCCCATTCTTGATCAGATCACTACCTAGCTCTTGATCGATCGTGATTCGATTGCAAATTCTTGATCGTTAAAACCTCTTGATCGATCCAATAAAGTGGTAACATTAACTAAAAAAATGGTAATATTAACCAAAAAAATAGTAATGTTAACCAAAAGTGGTACTTACCTCAAAAAGTGTAATCTTAACAAAAAAAGTGGTAAAATTAATCAAAAGTTTGGTAATGTTAACCAAAAAAATAGTGCTCTTAATCAAAAAAGTATAATCTTAATCAAAAAAAATGGTTTTAACCAAAAGAGTGGTAATGTTATTCTAATAAAGTTATAATGTTAACCAAAAAAGTAGTAATCTTAACCGAAAAAATTGTACTCTTAACCAACAAAATGGTTGTAGTTGTAATTTTAACCAAAAAAATGATAATCTTAATCAAAAGAATTGTAATGTTAACCTAAAAAGTGTAATCTTAACTAAAAAAGTGGTAATCTTAATCATGAGAATTGTAATTTTAACCAAAAAAGTGGTACCTTAACCAAAAACGTGTAATCTTAACCAAAAGAGTGGTAATGTTAACCTAATCAATGATAATGTTAACCAAAAAAGATGTAATGTTAACAAAAAAGAGGTACTCTTAACCAAAAGAGTGATAATATTAACTTAATCAATGATAAGGTTAACAAGAAAGTGGTAATGTTAATTAAAACAGTAGTACTCTTAATCAAAAAAGTTATAATATTAACCAAAAAAGTAGTAATATTAACCAAAAAAGTAGTAAATTTAACTTAAACAATGGTAATATTAACCAAAAAAGTGGTACTCTTAACTAAAATAGTGGTAATATTAATAAAAAAAATGATAATATTATTCAAAATAGTGGTACTTTTACCCAAAATAGTGGTAATATTTACCAAAAAAGTGGTACTCTTAACCAAAACAGTGGTAATGTTAACCAAAAAAATGGTACTCTTGACAAAAAAAATAGTAATATTAACCAAAAAAATAATACTCTTAATCAAAACAGTGGTAATGTTAACAAAAAAAATGGTACCCTTAACTAAAAAAGTTGTAATATTAAAAAAAAATTGGTAATTTTAACTAAAAGATTGGTAATTTTAACTAAAACAGTAGTAATGTTAACCAAAAAAGTGGTACTCAACCAAAACAGTGGTAATGTAAAAAAAATTGTACTATTAACCAAAACAGTGGTAATGTTAACCAAAAAAGTGATACTCTTAATTAAAATAGTGGTAATGTTAAAAAAAAAAGTGGTACTCTTTACCAAAAAAGTTTGTAATCTTAAACAAAAAAGTGATAATCTCAACCTGAACAGTGATAATGTTAACAAAAAAAGTGATACTCAACCAAAACAATGATAATGTTAACAAAAAAAATCGTACTATTAACAAAAAAAGTTATAATCTTAACATAAAAAGTGGTAATGTTAATTCAAAAAGTGATAATCTTAACTTAAACAGTGGTAATATTAAACATAAAAGTGGTACTCTTAACCAAAACAGTAGTAATGTTAACAAAAAAAAAGTGATACTCTTAATCAAAACAGTGGTAATACTAACCGAAAAAGTCGTAATGTTAACCAAAAAGTGGTACTTTTAACCAAAACAATGGTAATGTTAACAAAAAAAGTCGTAATGTTAACCAAAACAGTGAAAATATTAACCAATAAAGTGATACTCTTAACCAAAAGAATGATAATGTTAAACAACAAAACTAGTACTCTTACTATAATCTCAACATTAGTTTTAATAAATGATGATTATTTTATAATCTCTTGAAGGGTTCATGGGGATAAAAACAATTTTGTAACTCTATCTTTTGAGTTTTTTTTTTTATGAATTTATTATAATCTTAATATTTGTTTTAATAAATGATGATGATTTTATAATCTCTTGAAGGGTTCATAGGGATAAAAACAATTCTGCAACTCTATGTTTTGATATTTATCCTTCTTCTTCCCTGTCTTAGTTTTTTTTTTTTTTTTATGAAAAGACTATTGCTTAATCTTAGTTTTAATGATGATGATTTTATAATCTCTTGAAGCGTTCACAGGAATAAAAACAATTTTGCAACTCCATCTTCTTCTTCGTCTGTGTTTTTTTTTTTTTTTTTTATGAAAGCGTAAGGCTCAGTGGTGGNTAACAAATTGAAGGGAATTCTTGCAGAAGCTCTTCTATGTTGCAGCAAATCCTTAAGCGGGAAAAAAAGGCAGAAGCGCATCTTGAGATCTTGGTGGCCAAGAAAAATTTGTCGGAGCTCTTTGACATCTTTCGGCAAAGTCTACCAATGANATTTTATAATCTCTTGAAGCGTTCACAGGAATAAAAACAATTTTGCAACTCCATCTTCTTCTTCGTCTGTGTTTTTTTTTTTTTTTTTTATGAAAGCGTAAGGCTCAGTGGTGGGTGGCCGATAAAAAGTGTTAATCAAGGTGGGTAGCCGGTAAAAAGTGTTACACTTGATCAACGGTGAAAGTTCTTCGTTATATATCAACTGTTCATTTTATTTTTTCAATACCATACCACAAAGTAGCAGTAGGTACTATAGTTGAAGCCTTGCTTCTTTTGTTTCTATATACAAATGGTCTTACATTAACATTACCTAGTTCCCCTCTTTCTGTATCAACATTTCAATGAGTCCCATCAACTCCTTCTCAGAACTCCCACCAACTTCCCAAGCCTTCCTAGCCTCTTCTCTAATCTTCATTGCCTTGCCCCTCAAGTTCACATCTTCCATAACTTGCTTCACCATCTCCTTAATCTCTTCCCCCTTCACTAACCTTTCCCCATCCCAACCCCAATCCTTAGCCCACACCCCCAACCCTGCCTTCTCCATCACCTCCGCGTTCATCTTTTGGTCCCCATGCTGTGGCCATGCCAACATTGGCACCCCTTGCCTAGCTGCTTCCATCACCGAGTCCCATTCACACTGGCTGACAAACCCTCCAATGGCCGGATGTGCCAGAATTTCCTCCTGGTTCACCCACCCTTTCAGTATTCTCCCTTTGTTCTTAGTTCTCTCGATAAATGTATCGCCCAACAATTCTCGAAGCTCTTCATCATTCCCAACTTTTTGCATCTTATTGCCTTTTAGTATCCACAAGAATGTACACCCACTTATCTCTAACGCGTTTCCAAGTTCTATCAGTTGATCTGTTGGCATGGGTTCTCTGCTTCCACAGTTAACATACACTACAGATTCAGCACATTGGAGATCTAACCATGGAATTTTAAGACATTTCTTGAGCTCGTGAGGATTCAAAGGCCCAATTGGAAAAACAGTTGGGAGGTTACTTAACACCATTCCTTTGTTCAGGGCAACAATTGTTTCTGCTTCAAACCAGTTGAAGGTGTTTATTAGGACTCCTTTTACTTTTGGAAGAGATTGGGCATTTGGAATTAAGTAGACCCTCAATAGATAATTCCATGGTGAATCATCGAGCCATGTTGGAGGAATGCTTGAAACTAGCAGTGGGTCTAAACCAGGGATCTCAACATCTGCAGAATTGTCACCGAATTTTGATGGGGTTTCAGAAATTAGAACTGGAAGGTAGGCCACGGTGGAGAAAAATCGAGCAGATGTGGTGGAGACGATGTAGTGAGGGATGTCGAGATCAGCAATGATTTGAGAGAGACCTGCAGCTACAACAAAGTCTGAGAAGATGGCAGAGGGCGGTCGAGGCAATGAAGACAGGACAGGAACAAGGAGGTGAATGGAGTGGTTAATGGCTTCAAAATGGACGATGAAAGGATCATTGGTGGTGGAACTGGAGGTGTTGAAGGCAGGAATGTCAAAATCAATACGATTGATTTCTGGGTGGCTGGAAAAGAAGCTAGAGATATGAGTAGACTCTGCAGCAGAAACTGTGGGTTGTGTGGTGATCATGATGAAGGTGACTGTACAGTTATGTGAAGCTAGCATAGCAGCTAGTCGGAAAAAAGGATTTGATTGACCCAACCCACTTTGAAGGATTGCTATGTGAGGAGGTTCTCCTCTTCTGTTGGTTGAATTTGACATTGCTGCTGTGAGAGTGGTGACAGGATGAATGCTAGCTAGAAATAAGTGATTTTCATGATATATGTAGCAAAAATGTATGGGTACATAGTTTGGTGTTAGGTAATTATCAGTGTCGTGACATGTTAAGTTCATATCATCAATACGTTATTTTATATAAACACTTAAAACTCATAGACAATTTATTTGTAGTTCAATCCCTAGCAGTCGATTGCATGTGCTTGTTTGCTAGTTTGTTGAAAAACGAAAGGAATCAAATTTAGCATCTACAACATTATATAACAATATTCTGTTTGATTAAGTAGCCCCGAGAATGATATCCTTTATATAATAAGTATTATTAGTCGATTCCCTTTGTTACATAAATTCAATTGGTCAATTCTACCTTTTGGATGGAGCAGGTGTCTTGGATCTCATGCTGACTCGGGTTAGTACATTTTAGATATATAATATTATTTTAATAATATAAAATATAAAAAAATGCTGGATCATTGGCAAGGCATGGGCCAAGAAAGGGCCCATCTTCTTGGACTGCATTTTTAATCTTTGGATTGGCCCAGCCTTGCTCGGCCCAGGGGAGAGAAATAAGCAAGGATAAGATTATTTATACATATTTATGATATGGTAGCTATGGTTCATAAATTATGGTCAACAATCAGTATAAACTGCAAGGTAAGTTGGTCGAGGTTTCAAGATTACATTATCCCACGCCAATGGTTTACCTGTAACTATTCAAATACCCCTATGAAAAATAGATTTTATCATAGCATTTTTGTGGCTCAATCCACTTTGAATTTGATAGATGCATTGCTTGTAAAGTATATGTTCGTGTATGTTGACTTAAGAAATTTTATTACTTCCACAAAAGAGTTCAAGCCAGCTACACTTGAAGCCTTAGAATAAATACTACTTGATTCATAACAAAACAAGCATACTGACATTTTCAAGTGTGATGTTCTGCAAATTGTCTCAGGTCAGAGATAAAATCTGAATGGAAAGCTAACAAGGCACTTAAGTTGTTTACAATGGGATTATCACTAAGTGACATCAGGTGTTAGAGAATGACATAAAATGCGATTTTTATCATGAATCAGCAGACCTTTTCATCTCATTTGCCAGGCATTGATGCAATAATATTTTGATTGTTTCAACATCTTCTCATATGGTACCCCATCCCACCCCCACTATTACCCCTTTTTTGATATTCCTAATAATAATTTGGTGGAGAGTACTGGATTACTCTCCTGTCTCTCGCTTTCGTTCCCGTTTCTGCTTCTGCTTCTGCTTCTGCTCCCCTAGAAAAGTGCATCTTTTGTATACTCCTAATAAAAAGTTGGACTTAGCATATTTGCAAAGAAGGCCAAAATTTACAGCAAAGCTCAAAAAGTACCTGTAATAATCTTACTTCAATGTTTCTAAACACTATTAAGGGATGTGATGTTAAATTAATTATTAGCATACGTATATTATTATCGTTTGTAGTCTCAATATCGATATGTACGTTGTCATCCATGAAGAAGTTTAATATATACGTAGAAATCTCTCTTTGTTAACAATATCTATATAATAAAATAGCTTAAAATTCAAATCTCAAAAGATAAATAAAATAATTTTTACTATTTGTGGTTGAGATCATTTTAAATTTTATTTTAAAGTTAATCTAACGGTTAACATTAACACCTTAAATTTAATAGGAAAAATAGGCTCCTAAGAGTGTATTTGGAGTGAATTTTTTAAAAGTATCTCTAGAAATTATTTCTCATAAATATTTTTTTTTAAAAAGTGTTTGAAACCGTCCCACCACCATTGTCGCCGCCGCCACCCTCGCTACTACCACGATCATTGCCACCCACCACAACCATCACTGTCTCCTACCACCACCACTACTGCCCACCACCTCTTACCCCTATTACAAATCGATGCTTAAATTCATTTATCTCTTCTCTATATTTGTGATTTAATTTTGGATATGAATACAAATATATTTATTGTTTATAATTTTTTATTATTTTGTACCTTCAGGCACAGACAATAACTTGTTATTTGAAATTGTTGGATGATAGTTAGTATTGATTAAAAGATTGTTTTTTGTAGTCTCTTCTATTTGTAGCTAGGTTGTATGCAATTATTATTCCATAAACAAAAACAAATCAAACCCTTATAGCTTAATTGACATCACCTGGGCCCTTTCCTAAAGGTTGGATGCTGATTTGGCAAACTCATCTGTCTTTTTTTCCATGAGAAATATTGAGGATAATGTTATTGGAATTTAAAATTTTGATATAAATCGCTGACATAATGATGTATTTGGGTGATGGAGTTCCAAAATAAATAACTCAAATGACGTGACAAAATACATCTATAATATAAAACAAGATATGTTTCAATAAGTCTGATGAGTCCGGGTTCACTTGAGTCCAAGTCCAATTAGTGAGATAGGCCCAAATTAGCTATAAAGTAGGTCTAAGTCTGTAACGCACTAATTTTTTTCTTCTTTTTGGAGACGTTAATTGATATAAAAACACCCAAATAAAAATAACAGAGCACTAATTGTCCCAATAAAATTTATTTATCAAAATCATCTTTCAATACAAATAAATCTGTCATCATAAATAAATTTTTCAATACGAATAAAACATCAATTATGTTGACATCTCCTCGTCTTTAATACTTTAATTATCTCGTCACGATCTTTTCTCTAAAATCAATCTAAAAATACTAAATAAAGCAGAAAAGTATACAATATGACGAGAAAAAATATGCTCAAGAAAATTGAATAACAAATAATTGAGTATCACAAAGTATCTCAATCAACAGATACAAATTTCAAATTTGTATATCACACGTCATAAAGAATCTTAACACAGATTTGACACCTCACCAATCATCCCACCTCAACCCGATCTCATAGGTCTCTTAGCTGGCGATGCATCGACTATTAGCTGTCACGATCTCGTCTCAATATCTACAGAACATGATCAATGAAATCAAAATAATCAAAAATATTCAATCAAAATTCTAAAATAACGATAGCACAAGTTGAAATACAAATGAGAGGATAATCAAAGAAATACTCTTTGCAAAGAGATTTAAGGAGAGCATATTGCATACTGACCCGTACCTCAGAATCATTATTTGAATTCGATTACTCTGATTTTCGTTTCATTCTTCTTCTTCCTCTCAGTTTAAACTAAAAACACCCACGAAGATTTGTTTTCTCTCTCCCTTTTTTTCTTCTTTGTTCTCGGCTTAACACACACAAACATATATATTTTTCTTCCTTCTCTTTTATTCTCCCTCACTTACGGTTTCAACAAACCAGAACACACAAACACACTGGTTTGTGTTTCAAATACACACATTTTACTGCACCTTAAAGTACACACACACATATTTTCTACACTTATTAATTACACAAATCCACATTTTCTACCATTTATTCAATGTTAGCTTCTTCTTCTTTTTTTTCAAAGTCTTCATGTGGGTGAAGACGAAAGTAACATAAAAGTTAAAATATTTATACTTTGCTCCCCTTTATTTCACTTACTATATATATCAACCACAAAACTTAAATATTTTTTATACTTTAACATCAAAACTCATAATATTTTATACTTAAACTACTTCTAAAAATTTGGGATCTCACAAAGTCCAACTCATAAATTCGGTCCAGTCCAAAGTTCAAGGAGTTCAAGAATATTAGCAAACGTAGAGAGTAATTACCAAGATAGTCACTCTCAAAGATCAAGACTATCTTTGATTGTACCTATCCGTAATTGTAGCTATCATTCACGCCACCGCTTCAACTAAGGCTTTGTACCTATAAATTATAAGTCATTTACACATGAGAGAGATGTCTCCACACTTAGAGCTTATTTTTGTTTCCTCTCTCTCTCTCACCTGCTACTTTATCAATAAAGTCCTCCGACCACCGTCGTCGCCTTCAAAGTGGAGTAGGTCACCCCGACTGAACCACTATATATCTGTGTATTATTTGTGTTGACCCAATCTCTACCTTTTATCGTTGATCTCCTCTTTATATTTGTTGCATTTATGACTTATATTAATTACTCGACAGGTGGTGCATAAATCTACTTTGGTACATCATCAAAGCCTATCAGATGGTCTCAAATAAACTCATTCAAATGCTACTAATAATTTCTCTCAAACCATTCATATTGTACTGTAGTTTCAGGTGCAAGTTACCCTTAGTAAACAAATAAAAGTATATCTTGCCTCTTGATTTGTTGGGTGCCTGCCAACAAAATCTATTGTCGCATTATTTGGATTATTAATTTTTTTCAATTTTATCCCTAATAATGTTCAAAATAGCTTTGTTGTTTTGACGAGTAATACTATTTAATTTAATTTTATTAATGAATTTATTATAACCGTTGGATTGACAATAAATCTGAAAGACATTGTGGATTTAGTCATGTTAACAACGATTGAAATCCTAAATACATTGTTAATTCAGCTACTTTAAGACTCTTTTTGGATTCCGACATTTAATCTTTTTCAACTCCGAAGATACCAAACGGGGTTCACTCTCTGTCCTGTTTTAGCTTTGGGCCTTCCTCCCCAAAACTTGAAGGGAGAGCTAACAAGTAACAAGGCAATTAGTTGGTTACAGTCGGATCAGCACTAAGTGACATAAGATGTTAGAGAAAATGCCATAAAAAAAAAAAGAAAAAATGACTTATACCCTACCACAAAGATACCCCTTGTTATTTCTAATAAGATGACTCGATAAAATATCGTTTTTTCCAAAGCACATCCACTCGTTCCGCTTCACCCACACAAAAAAAAAAAAACCAACCCCCTTTTTTTTTATCGTTTGAACAGTGCATCTTTTGGATACTCTAATAAAAAGTTGGAATAAGCATAATGCAAAAAGAAGGCCAAAGTAATTTAAAATTTACTGCAAAGCTCGAAAAGTACTTGTAATTTTAATTCAATGTTTGTAAAAGCTATTAATGGAGGTGGTATGTCCACTGAAAATGTGTTGGTGCTCCATTTCTTTCTCCATCGATCCTTTCTAGTCTCAATATGCGTACGTTATGATCCATGAAAAAGTAAAAAGATAAAAATCTCTCTCAGTCAATAATTTTAATCGACTTTGGTACGATGAAAAATTGAAAGATTGAAAGTTAGAAGAATGAACAATTAGAGGGATAAATAAAACATCATTTTTGGCAAGGAAGGAAAATAGGAAAATCAATCTCTCCAAAATAGGAAGAAAAATGGATGGAAAGTTAATTATTTGTGTTGAGATGTATCTTATTTGTCTATATATTATGTATACATTAATTTCATATAATAATATACAATGATAAGATATATGTATATATATACACACACACACACACACACATATCTAGGGATGAAAATTTTCATCTTAACTAAGGATGAAAATTTTCGATTTAACACGATGACACGACTCGAACTCGACACAAATTTTATGACACGAACTTGAAAATGAACAGACACTCGAATAAGAAATATAAAAGGTTCATAATTTTAGACTCAACACGAATCTAACAGGATGCGACTCGATTTTCACCCCTAATCTTAACCAACACAAAAAAAAATTTAAAAAAAAATTAATCATTTTTATTTTCCTTTCATTCAACCAAAAACAAAGGAAGGAAAGTGTATCATTCTTACTTTTCATTTTTCCTACCAAATGGAACATAAGAGTTCGTTTGTTTAGCGAGAGAATGATAGAAAATGCAAGAAAAATAAATTTTTTAAAATTTTTGTATGTTTGGTTAACATGAAAAGGAAAATGATAAAAAAAATTATTTTCTTTCATACTCGAATTTTTTCACAAATAACCAACTTTTTTTCTTGTAAAAAACAAAAGGAAATGCAAGAAAATTGTGGTCTATAACTAACTTCATATTTTACCACTATTTTTCTTAACATATTTTATTAGTTATTAATTTTAAAAAAATTTGGTATGAATTTGATTAATTATATAATTTAGCCCGAAGACTTTTGTATTGGTAATTGTTTTAAAATAAAGTTTCGAGTTATTTTCTTAAAAAAAAATTAACTTCAATTATAATTACGTATTTTTTTTAGATCGATTTAATATAATTAAGGGTAATTTAAACAATTATAAAAAATTTATTATAACTTTTATTTCTTTCAAACAATATAATGAAATTTTTAAAAAAAATTCAATAAATTTTTTATTCTAACCAAATATATGTATGCATATATATTTTCTATCATTTTTTTTTTCTTTCAATTCACTTTTCATCATTTTTTTCTTCCTAACCAAGCATACCCTAAAAGATTTATCATAGTATAATGAGGCCAACACTCGACATAAAGAACAGCGACTCAATAATGTAGTGTTGACATGTTGGGTAAAATTAAAAATTTAAATATAAATCGTCATTGGGTGGCAGGCGTTAGGTGATGTAACCACTATATAGAAAAAAAATATATATATATATTGGACACAATGGTTACACTATGTTATCATGCTGATATGATATAACTGTCCAATGATAAAATAACAAGTGTGCAAGTAGATTTAACATAAATAATTATTGCATGACATGTATAGATAATTATTTAATTATGTGATCCACTTATTCATTTGTTATTGGACGTAAAGTTACATCCAATATTTTTCTCACTATACCGAGTGGAGATATTTTTCCTCTTAATTGACCCTAGTGGTGCCGTCTCCGTTGGGCCCCTTCTAATATTGGATGCTGACGTGGCACTAACACTGCCGTCTATTTTTTATGATGTAGTTTTTTGAGATGAAGACTAAGGTTGGGGCCTTGGAGGACATTGGTGGATTCAGCCACTTTAAGGCTCTTTTTATATCTTCCACAATTCTATCATTTTCAACCCGACTTCTCAAACGAGCCAACTGTGCAAGTCTTAGAGTCTGTCTTATTTATCTCTTTGCATAAAGTTTGACAGTTTATTGTATAAGTCTCAGAGTCTTATATATCTCCTTTGCATAAAATTTGACGTTCAAATGACAATAGAATAATCATATCGACACTATGAGATCATAGGGGCGAACAAACAAAGCGCTACAACGTGAAAAACTGAACAAAGAAGATACCAAACGGTGTTCACTCTGTCCTGTTTCAGGCTTTCAGCTTTGGGTCTTTCTCCCCCATAGGAATAATATATGGTGACAAAGACATAGACTCACAATACCCAATTCATCTTGTGTCCCCTCTCTCTCTCTCTCTCTGTGGCAAAAGTGTCTCATGACCGTGGTGACATGCCTAAGCCAATGACTCCAGAATCAATGTCAAACGATTCCATGTACATGAAAGACATGGTTATGCATATGAGCTTCTTCTGGGGCAAAGATGTGACCATTCTTTTCCAAGGATGGCCTGACAACAACCTTGGTATGTACATATTGGCTCTTGCCTTCGTCTTCTTCCTCTCTGCCGCCGTTGAGATTTTGTCGGTCTCGCCGATAGTCAAGATGGGAACTAGCCCAGTCGTTGGTGGGTTGACTCAGGCCAGCGTTTACGCGATTCGCATGGCTCTTGCTTACATGGTGATGCTCTCTGTCATGTCCTTCAACCTCGGTGTCTTCATAGTTGCTGTGGCTGGCCATGCTTTTGGGCTGTTTGTTGTCAAATATCGAGCACTGGCTACAGCTTCTTCTCCTGCAGATGTCCCTACTAAAGTTTGATATTGAACTGCTGGTTTTTGACTCTTTTGTGCTCTTGTAATTGTTGTGATTATGTGCCTTCCGTGTGTTTCTCTTCTTTTTTCAATGGTTCAGATCATCCACCGTATTGTATTGCTAGTTTTATTGTTTTCACTTGTCAATGAATAATCTTTACTTAACTCGCATATAATTTTGACGAGGGCGGGCATTAGAGCAATGAGAGAGTCACATATTCGAGTCGTGGTGAAACATGTCCTCTAATTAGTAGGTCCGACTCTATCAACTGTTGTTGGGTCATTAGTTTCTGTCACTGTATACACAAATTCAATACACAATCCTAAATGTTTCCATCCCTTCCTCGTTTGCCAGTCCAAACTTAGGAAAATCAGCGTCCAGTAAGTAGCCTTCAAAATATACCAGCTGGTATCAATTATTCGTCCACCGTATTTTTACGACTTTTTTTTTTTTACCAAAATACTGTAATTTCAAATTATCGTTGTTAGTATGAAATCCGGTTTTAAAAATACGCTTTTACACTAAAGTTGTATTTCAAACACACTTCCAAGGTAATAAAAACAACCATAATTTGGTAAATAAATTTAAAATTATATTATTTTGGTAACAAGGGAATAAAAAATGGTAGACCCACAAAAATTCAACATACCAAACCTACTCAATCATGAGGTACCAATTATGAGTGATTTAATGATTGAGTCTGACCTTTAGTAACTCAAATGTCTCAGGTTCAATTCTTTTTCACAGGGCTAGCTACCGTTGTTCCTTTACAGNTATGAGATCATAGGGGCGAACAAACAAAGCGCTACAACGTGAAAAACTGAACAAAGAAGATACCAAACGGTGTTCACTCTGTCCTGTTTCAGGCTTTCAGCTTTGGGTCTTTCTCCCCCATAGGAATAATATATGGTGACAAAGACATAGACTCACAATACCCAATTCATCTTGTGTCCCCTCTCTCTCTCTCTCTCTGTGGCAAAAGTGTCTCATGACCGTGGTGACATGCCTAAGCCAATGACTCCAGAATCAATGTCAAACGATTCCATGTACATGAAAGACATGGTTATGCATATGAGCTTCTTCTGGGGCAAAGATGTGACCATTCTTTTCCAAGGATGGCCTGACAACAACCTTGGTATGTACATATTGGCTCTTGCCTTCGTCTTCTTCCTCTCTGCCGCCGTTGAGATTTTGTCGGTCTCGCCGATAGTCAAGATGGGAACTAGCCCAGTCGTTGGTGGGTTGACTCAGGCCAGCGTTTACGCGATTCGCATGGCTCTTGCTTACATGGTGATGCTCTCTGTCATGTCCTTCAACCTCGGTGTCTTCATAGTTGCTGTGGCTGGCCATGCTTTTGGGCTGTTTGTTGTCAAATATCGAGCACTGGCTACAGCTTCTTCTCCTGCAGATGTCCCTACTAAAGTTTGATATTGAACTGCTGGTTTTTGACTCTTTTGTGCTCTTGTAATTGTTGTGATTATGTGCCTTCCGTGTGTTTCTCTTCTTTTTTCAATGGTTCAGATCATCCACCGTATTGTATTGCTAGTTTTATTGTTTTCACTTGTCAATGAATAATCTTTACTTAACTCGCATATAATTTTGACGAGGGCGGGCATTAGAGCAATGAGAGAGTCACATATTCGAGTCGTGGTGAAACATGTCCTCTAATTAGTAGGTCCGACTCTATCAACTGTTGTTGGGTCATTAGTTTCTGTCACTGTATACACAAATTCAATACACAATCCTAAATGTTTCCATCCCTTCCTCGTTTGCCAGTCCAAACTTAGGAAAATCAGCGTCCAGTAAGTAGCCTTCAAAATATACCAGCTGGTATCAATTATTCGTCCACCGTATTTTTACGACTTTTTTTTTTTTACCAAAATACTGTAATTTCAAATTATCGTTGTTAGTATGAAATCCGGTTTTAAAAATACGCTTTTACACTAAAGTTGTATTTCAAACACACTTCCAAGGTAATAAAAACAACCATAATTTGGTAAATAAATTTAAAATTATATTATTTTGGTAACAAGGGAATAAAAAATGGTAGACCCACAAAAATTCAACATACCAAACCTACTCAATCATGAGGTACCAATTATGAGTGATTTAATGATTGAGTCTGACCTTTAGTAACTCAAATGTCTCAGGTTCAATTCTTTTTCACAGGGCTAGCTACCGTTGTTCCTTTACAGACATGCTTTGGCTCAAGTCACGGTGACCAGCTGCTGAATTTGAAAAAATAATCGATGCAAACTTAGACACCTTGAATAAAAAAAATAAAAAAAAATCATATAAAAGTTGATAAGAATGGGATTGTGGCTGACACAAGTATTCCTCAGTGTTGGCAGTGGCCCTTTCAAATCCTCAGAATCATACCCAAAGCGCTTGGTCATTAGACTGCTCACCAACTGGCCCGCTTTTCGGGTTTCCAATGTCCTTGGCTATCTTCATTCCTCGTGTGGTAGAATAGAGACTAATGAAACAAAGACTAAAACATGCAATGTACTAGTGAAAGCAGAGTACTTTCAGTGCTTCAAGAATCAATGTAGTTCCAACATTATTCATGTGAAATTTGTCAAAGGTTACAGTAATCAAGCCCGGGGTCAGGGAACACAAAACATCTCTAGAGTAGACTATAATTCAGTTTCTTCCATCATCCGTTATCAAAAAGGGCGCGTGGGGGTGAGATTGGCGGTCCAAGTTACGCACTAAAAATCTTTATGCACCACGGTGCCTACCAGTAGAAACAACTGGCTAATCCATAATAAAGGGCGTTACATTCTGAAACATATCGACAGTCTAACTCACAGTATGGTACATCTAGGGAGCCCAAGACCTCTCAAAAATCTTCTGCCATGAGGCCACATCTGTGACAAAAAACCCATGCGAGGTGGAGGAGCAGCAGCCTGATGAATATCCTCCTCCTTTTTAGAATCTGAATCATCCAGATCATCATCCGCATGATCTTCAGCCGGAATTTGATCGATATCATCAACGACTCCAGCCTCGAAAATTTCTCCAGGTTTCTTGTCAAACAGTCCTTTGAATTGTTTCTGAGCCCTCCTGTGGACTTCCTGCTTGTCAGGCATTAGACACAGAATCGTAAGCTTTTCAATTCCATCTAGTACATAGAAGTGAATTTGTTTAGTTAACCCCACCTGTTGCTCCCTTTTTAGCTTAAGAAGAGCTGCCTTTGCATTATCTTCAGATGACTTGTCAATTTTCATCATCTAGTTGCATAAAGAACAGAAATTAAGAAAAGTCGAGCACCCAAATTCAGTACTTAAACCATAAAAGTAAATCAAAGCATTACCTTGTTGAAGTCGTCCCTTGCTTCATCAAAATCTCCAGCTGACATGTAGGCCATTCCACGGCGATAAAGAGCTTTAACATGGACAGGGTTTGCATCAAGTACCTGCATTATGTAATCAGAAATTTTCCCAAATTGATACTCGAATAAAAAACTTTGGCCGGGGGAGACAGCTTCACTTGAATCAAGAGGGTTGAGAACAGTACATGTTGAGTAGATCATCTTACTAGGAACCAGTGATTTCTAGCAAAAACTATGAACCAACCAGACCTCATTTCTTGGTTGTTATGTTCATTTACACATTTGACCCATTGGAAACTCAATACAACACTAATGCAACCCATCACAAGCCTAATATTTATTTACCTTATTGCATGCCTCAATGGACTTTCTACATTCTCCCAATTTCAGAAAGCAGGCAGCCACATTAAGATGCAACAGATTCTTCAAGCATCCGAAAGGAAAACAAAGTCATAAGCAAGCAGGAAAATTTTGATATACAAATAAGCTGCTCAAATGAGAGCAAAAAGACCAAAACCCTAACAAACTAAATAAGAAACCACCACCAAAAGAAGAAGGGGGAGAGGAGGAAGGGAAAAGATGAACAAACATCTCCAAATTTACCACAAACACACTTACTCTTGTATTTGAAAACTCTTTTCCTTCCTCATCATCTTGTGGATTAACATGATTAAATTCTCGAAGCACCTGTAAGCAATTATCACATAACCTATATGTTGTTATCCAAAGAACAGAATACATTTATAACATCTAAAAGCGTCTGTGAATCTCCGCCCATTTTATTAATAAGGATTCAAAAAATCACTCAAATATGGAAATGCTGGCCAGAAGGGAGGATTCCCAGGATGGCTGAGCCTTAGTGGACTGCAAATTACCAGTCCTTGGTTGATTGCAATGACGGAAGAAAATAAGCACACGAATGAGTGCGAGGAACTTCTGATCCACAGGTTAAACCAGATGACGTTAAATTTTTGACTCAATGGCTGTTCATGGAATGTTTTTTGTCTTGACTAGTTCAGATATGAGCTCTAGGTAGGTATTGATCTTCACTTTGAAGTGGGGTTGGAGCAGGTGGTCTCTCCTGTTTGCTATGCCAGCCCTCAAGTATTAATTTGCACCCAAAGATATTGGGGAAGTCAAAGCAGGTCAAGTTCACTAGAAACAACTACCTTAGAAATTAAATGCAAGGGTCAGCAATTTAATCACAAAATTAGGCAGAAGGTTCTGTAGAAGAAAATCCAAGGATGACAAGTTGGATGAAAAAAATACAGTTTTGCAAGTCAGGAGCTGCAAAGTGAGCAGTAAGATCATAGGCTAACAGCAATGATAATTAATAACATATACTGAAGTTTCAGTTTTGATATACGAGGACAAAAGCAATTAGTTTGTCCAGGAAAACTGGTCGACATGCATGGGAGATTCTACTTCTACAAAATTAGTTGACTAAAAACACGATCAGAACAGTCACTGCTCCATGGACGATTCAAGTGCAAAAAAGTGAATATGGTGAAGATAAAAATTATACGTGCCTTCTCATACTTTGCCTTAGCAAGTTCATATTTTGCTTCTATGAAAAGCCTTTTACCCTGAGAATGAAAAAATAACTGTAGGTGAGCTTAATTCATGATATACATTCTTTCACATGATGACTACAGTCTTCCGATTCATAAGCAAAAAAACTTGGGCCATCAAATGGCTTCCATTCCATTTTACATTCATGCACAATAAATAAGCAAAGGTTTCACCAGGTTGAGCATGCCTGAAATGCTGAACATGGTGCAAGCCTAGCATCTAGATAAACTAGTATGTCAACAGAAATAGTAAATCAACAGATGTCAATAAGCTGAAACTTTAAGCCAACCAGCACTTCAAGTCATGGTCCAAATTGCATGAACATAAACATGAAACGCGAGCTTGAAAAAGTATACATCAAGGTTATGACCCAGCCAGACTAAATGCCAACTCCTATAAACAGATCCAAGTCACACAGCAAGAAACTGAAACTCAAACCACACACACTAGTAATAACATGGTGGAGACATTCAGTACTTAGGAATAGCCAACTATCTATTTGGTGAATTTCCCAAGCAGATGCAATATATACCGTGCCTTTTATCTTCTCAACTTCCTGCATTATTTCTCTGAAGTTCAGACCTGTCCAGTCCTGCAACAAGGATACTGATCATGCACCAGCGATAAGGTTAACAATTCTATAACTACCGGAAGCATAAGAACTTTATAGCCAGAAGAAAATGCCATAGTCGAGATTTTTTTCAAACAATGGTAAGAAATCCTCACTAATGAGAGGAGTTCCTTAGGACCCATACTTTCTGTTAAACTGCAATTTATCCTATCCTTTCTCAACATACAATTTATACTTATTAATAAAGATATCTACATGTCCAACAAATCTTCAACCTGAGTCATGTCCAATGAACTGCAGCCTCCATATGTATAACTTTATAGTACCATTAAGTCTTCTTTTCACTACAAAGAACCATTAAGTCCTATCATATTTCTATTAAGATAATTAAGTCCTACTTTTGACAATTTGTTCCCAAGAAGTCCTTAATTCCATCAACGCTATATTTTGTTCCAACAATACCCTTCTCATGAAAATATTAATCATATTTTTAAGGCAATAAATCAAAGCAAGGTCATGTTAAGGAAATGAATACATGTTGGTAAGACTTATTTGTCATTAGTCCAAAATAACAATGAAAATAAAATAATGACAAAACTGCCCGAATTATATTTCAGAGGTTTTTCTATAAGATAGATCTATTGCTCCCTCCCTCGTTAGTCTGCTGCTCAATTCCTCCGCAATTCATCGCCCAGTCCCTCAAATGCGTCACCTATGTTTTTCTCCGGGGAAAAATGAACCAGAAGCATTGCCATGTACTGTAGATTGGATTGACGGTTGCATTAGGAACAACGGTAAAAATATATGAGAAAGAGGACAGAGGAGAGTAAATTGGCCTTTTCCATACAGTGCTGTCCTTTTCGACTGAAAAACTGTTTGCTTGGACCTAATGTCCAATAAGTTCTATTCTGTGGACCTCCAGTCCCTTTTTCCTAAAAACAAAATCTTTTGCATATTTAAAAAACTGAAATATTACATAACTTAAAGAGCAAATACGAGGAGTATAACCATTGTCATTAATGATAATATAATTGATGATCTCAAGAAAATTCTAGAAAATATGATTTTAATTAAATTAAAAAATGTATATAATTATTAGCAAAAATATAAATGGCATTTAATGAGAAGGGTAAAATGGGAATAAAAAATACTATTGATGTAGTTTAAGACCTCATTGGAACAAATTCTCAAAAGTATGACTTAATTGTACTACTAGAAGTATGATAGAAATTAATGGTTCTTTGTGTGGAAAAGTAGGACTTATTAGTGATTTTCCCTACTTCATACACTTGTAAGGTTTCAAACTCCGTGACTAAAGATCTACAGGCAATGTGATGAAGACCTTGGAGAAAGACTTAATAGATTTTTCTTCTGATTGTTCATTGTGTCATAATTAGCATTTATGTTACCTTTGCTGTCTCAAAATCAAGAAGCTCAATTTCCCACTGAATATGAGCACCTTCAGGAACATTAGCTGGCCTAATCATATCAAGACAAAAACTTAAATAATACGAGCATGATGATCAATTAAATGCCATGATAAAAAAGGAAAAGAGATCATCATGATGATGGTCACAGGTTTCACTTTGTGACCATGCTTCTTTCATGCTATACCCTGATACAAAAAATAGAGAAAACCATGTGTGGATAAGCTGACCTTGGAAATTTATCATATGCATAATCAGGGGGGCACGTAACAAGAGCCAACTCTCCAGGCAACATCAAACGAACACACATTTCAAACCCTTGAGGAACCTGCAGCCCAAAAGAAAAGTCTTCTGCATAACAATTTTCCCAAAAAGTAAATAAAATAATAAGTCAATCATCAAATTCTACTTCTCAAAGGTAATAAGATAACATTGGTTAAAGATAAAGAAAGCACAAAAAATCAATAATCCAAAGGGTAAAGCTCAAACATGATTTTATGTGAGGACTTCAGGACAAAATTCAGGCCTCCTAATATTAGCTGGTAAAACTGTCGTATGCAGGGGTGTGCACACATAAATACTTGTTCGATGGACAGATCAATCAGCAATAGTTCTTAGCATAACCACCAATTTAAATTCAAAGAGCAGCAAGGTATATATCAAACAGACTTACAAGCCCTTCTCCCGAGCTGAATTGGAGAGGCTGACCATTATTATCAACTCTAGTATCATAGAAGACTGTTTTCTCCTCATTTAGGAGTATGCCTTTGTAATGAACATGCAGTAGACTGTCATGAAGAGGGCAACCCATAGGAAATTCACCTGATTATTCCAAAAAAAAAAGAAAGCATATAACATAAAATGCTTGGTAGTAATAAACGCAAATATTAGATGTAACAGATCATATAAAAACCTGCCTACACAAGCATAGCAGTCTAACCAAGAATCAGGATCAGAAAGACAATAAGCTCAAAGTAAAACAAGCACCTACATGAAAATACATTAACATTGAAGACATACATTCGTGTGTTCTAACTGAATGAGATTGCAGAAACGAAATGCGGCCAAATCCCAAGCATAAATCACGCATTTATGAAAATTCGTATAGGATCATAACCCAATACATCTCCAAATAAAAAGGCCCAAAAAAGAAATGGCAATGCCATAATCAGAGATTAAAAAAACCAAATTAAGGACCATTCGGCACATATTACACATTCAGTCATAGCAAAGTATGCTGCTACATGCTCTGCGAAGAAAAAAAATATGCTGCTACAAATAAAGTTGAGTGGAAATCAATTGCAATTTCCCTACAAACGTAAGAATTTATTTAACAATTGGTTCTTTTTATGCAAGATAAGATTGAATTTTCCGGTAAGCATAAATTTATAAAAGAGAATGGACTCTAAAAGATAGACATGATGAATAACAGTTCCTCATTAAAAAGGGTGGTTATGTCTGTAACATTTAGCATCAACATGATCCGAAAAAAGGGTGAACTGGCAAAAGGTACTGAAGGATGCATAATGCAGAATTCAGAAAATGAGGAGAAGGAAAATAGCATTAATCCTTCATTAAAGAGCTAAATTGTCATAGAAAAAAATATATGTAGGTACTCTGCCCTGGAAATAAGAATTGAAAATATCTCACTGAAACACAGACAGGTTCTACGAAGTTGCCATTGGTTCAATTTCTAAAGGATGAATGTGGTCTGCATAACAATGATATTTTAATTCAAGATTTAAAAACAATACCTCTTCCATCACGAATGCGACGTTTTATTAGTCGTCCATCTCCAAGCACATCCCGCACCTGTTAATTTGTAGAAATTCAGGATAATCATCACCCACTTGACTACAGCATATAACTAAAGCATAGTAAGCAAACACGACAAAAATAAGGGGCCGAAAACATAAGGATAACTTCCCAATTGCAGCTATGTATCTGTGAGATTATAGTTCTTTTGAAATGCCTAAGCTACCCAGCAATGCCCTGCTGACGGGACCAACTCTAAAGTGTCATATTCTAAATGTGTTCCATGGATATTCAAGTTAAAAACTTGTTCCATGTCATTTATAATGCTTAACAGAACATAAAACAGAACACCGGAGTAATATTAGTAACACATAAAAAAAAAAAGTTAAGGGAAGGATATGGGCATCCAACAAAATTGGGGCAGTACATCCACAGTTTGGATTTGGGTACAATGAGAATCTAACTTGGATGGACAAAAGATGCATCTAGAAACTAATAATATTGTAATAACAATGTCAAGTAACCACAAACATTTCTTTTTCCCACGTTGGTCTTTGGAGGTGGTAGATTATCTTTTCATGCCAAGAGAAAATTTCTACATTAGTAGTTACAAGACTGATATTGATAAACAATATAAGAAATCAGATGTATAAATATGCAAAGAAGGAGCATAATTCAAAAGAAGCATTTCTTTTACTCCATTTCCATATTCTGTAGTTGTACCCGACAACATCCTGCCAAGCAATCATAATTTGTTCAGATGGCTAACTAAAGTGCTGAGGGAGCAACTATTCTACCTAAGCACCCAGCCCTATACTTTAGTTGGGGACTAAGCCGCATGCAGATGCTAATCTAAGCATATAGTTTAACAACAGTATCGGATCATTTTATACATAAAATTAGATGTATAAGGAATGACAAACTAAGACATGAAACAAGTTTAAGCACGTGACACGAGTTTTTCTTTTATGCAAACATAGCTCCCTATCCGAGTTCAAAGTATCGCCTGAGTCTAATACAACTCAGCTGAGTCCATTCCGACTTGACACTAACTGAAACGATAACTTTAGATCAAATGTAACACTTGCATAATGCATGTAGCGAAGAGAGTCCGTATGCTACATTGAAAAATTAGGTACATTCAAAGTTGGTTTATATACTTGAGGGGCCCAACAATCACCTGAGACCTAACTTTGATACCACGTTAGAACATCCTTTAAATCAGCAGGTCAGTTTGTCAGTTTATTTCGGTTTAAATCAAGTATGTTTATCTATTTGTTTCAGTTCGGGTTCGAAGCCGGGGTCACACATGACAGAGCGTGCAAAGAGAGCTTGTCTCCCACATCAAACGGTTCCGTACACCAAGGTTGTTCAATATTTTTGAGGGATCACTCCACCCGTTGCCATAGATTTTGGGTTGGATGTTCTAAAACATGCATACCAACTCACTGCTTCAAGAATTTCATCTGGTAAACCACACAAGAACTGACAGTCAATCAAACCACAGATAACTATAATTCATGGTGAAAATAACCAAGCAAACCTGAATAAAGTGGATGAGCTCTACTTCAAAATGAACTTCTTCAACATCTTCTACTGTAGGCATGAAATGACAAGGAGTTAAGTACTGATTGGTAACATATACAACTGCCTTCTCTCCCTTTGCCATTGTTCCAATTCCCATCTCAAGACCTTTAGGTACCTAATTTACATATAGGCGCCAATAAAGAAAAAATGAGCAACATACATCATGGAAAAGTTGATCTAGCATAGCTACACCCAACTAACTTTATTTCCCTACTCACATAACAAACATTGCATTGCTAACAATAAAGCCTGCAAATCGTAGGAAAGCCAGGAAAAAATAGAACCTCTAGTGTCATTTACCAGAAGAAGGCAGAGATTATAAGAGCAAGCAAATTAATTATGTAAAACAATAGGGAATATTAAAAACTATAAAATAAAGGAAACCAAGAACAAAAAGCAGTGCAGGAATGTTTCAACCTCAGATTTTCCAAAAGTAAAGAAGAATGGTTCTCCTTGGGTATGCGATAAAATCAATTTGCCATTCCCTGTCTTTGCAGAAATCCTGGAAACAGTCATAGATAGCATGAATGTCATTGCTATATTTAGCATACTGAAAATTAGACTTGCAATACAACACTGGCCAAAAGAAGAGGACAAAAACAAATAAGCACGAGTTTCTACCAAGCTTTTACTTCATAAGGTTCCCTTGGCGATTCCCATCCTTGTCCATCATTGATAACCTGTACAGAAAACAAAAACTACCCATCGTTTACAATTAAAACTCGGAGAAAGGGATTTCCTAATTCCTAATAGTTATATCCATTAAACATTATTTACTCCTTTCTATCTATGCATAAGATTTCAAGCAACCTTCATCCAAAAAAGAAAATGTTCTGAACCTCTCTCTCTCTCTCAAACCCCTTTTGTTGTGACTCAAGCAGTTAATTATGAAACTGACAAAACCCAGAAAGCAGCGGAAGACAAATTAATCTATTTCTCGAAGCAATCAACTGAATTACTAAATGTGAATATTATGAAATTCAAGGATAGCTTTCATGCCTAATTGTTCATGCATGATATTGCACTCCTCATAACAAGCTCTACCCCTTCCATTCCCCCCCCCCCCCCCCCCCCCCCCCCCAACAAAAA